GTTTTCTAGGCCTTTTGTCTTTGCAGGAAGTCTACCCTCACCCTTATTCCGCCCACTCAAGGCATTCCTGATGCATGCGTGAATTGCTCACCGAAAAGCGAGACAGTCTCCTGCGGGAAGGCGAACACAGGCAATGCCATTTCCGCACCGCACTTATCGCGATACTCACAGGTCTGAAATACCTTGTTTACCGCGAGATGCGCCGCCGCCGATTTGTCCTTGGGCGTGGTCGCGACTGGGAGCGTCGTAGTCGTCGTCGATGATTGCAGTCAGTGAGACGACTAAACGAGTCACAACGTATCGGCGGAGAGTCCTGAGCGGAAAGCGACGATACTGTGCGTTTAGCCGGAGGGCTACGACAGACTATACGGTGACAGACAGTATGGCCATCGAGGCAGGCGAGGAGACGCCATTCACCGTCAACCGCAGCCATGGCTAAAGTCGAAGTACAGATTCGTAGTTGCTTTTGTTGTGGATTATCATTAGCTACTGTATTCGTCGCCCTCTATACCTTGGTGAGTTGATCGTTGGATTTCTTTGGGTGGGGTTTAGCTGTGAACAGAAAGATTCCCTCAAACCTGATCTTTAGCCTGTCGGTTGAAATGCGTACGCATTGAAGCTATAGTTATCGGTTTTTGTGGTGCATAGTAGTCATCCGGTGAATGATTCTTTGTGTTTCTTTTCATTCCTCCAAGCGACGGATTACTGTACGTTCCAGATTCTGTATTCTATTCTTGTTGGACTCGCTGCTTGGGGATTATCCGACACAGCGAATAATGGCGACGCGTCTCATTTTCGTAGTTGCGAACTGGAAGCGCAAGGGAAACTGCCGGCAGGTGCGTGGCTGTCATTCCTCAATGGACTCGGGTTCCGGGCCATTCACGTGGTTTATTCTTCACCCTGCTTCACTGATCACTGCTACGCTTATTTCCAATGAGCTCCCTTTTCTTCGCTTCTTTCTTATGCTTACTAACTTTCTGACAGACCTGCTGTCCAACAAGGCACCCTGGCCATAGCTGCATTACTTTACTTCTCATTGGACAGTCTAGACCCTGCAAAAACAAAACGTGGTTGCACGCCATTCTAGTGAATGGCACGTTCGTCTCGGAAACCCTGTTCGCCGAACAGGTTACTTCTCATGCATTACAGCTCGCACAACTCAGCTTGTCGGCTGTACAATGGCTTTTTAAGGAGCTTAGAAGGCCGGTGGCTCTCTGCTACAAAATTGCGTGAGTTTATGAAGATGAATAGTTAGTACGTGCATGGCCGATACGGCGCAATGGTTGGAACTGCCGCTTCCAATTTCCATAAACTGCTACTCGCCCTCCTTCCTGTTCCGACCGACGCACAGCTAAGAACAAGTTCTCGCTCTGGATTTTGTTCAAGAAAATGTGGAGGTTTTTGGGATGTGGATGACGAACGTGCTAAGTCATTACTTCAAGGCTCATCTGCTGCTACGCATCAGTGGTTTTCTAGGCCTTTTGTCTTTGCAGGAAGTCTACCCTCACCCTCATTCCGCCCACTCAAGGCATTCTGATGCTTGCGTGAATTGCTCACCGAAAAGCGAGACAGTCTCCTGCGGGAAGGCGAACACAGGCAATGCCATTTCCGCACCGCACTTATCGCGATACTCACAGGTCTGAAATACCTTGTTTACCGCGAGATGCGCCGCCGCCGATTTGTCCTTGGGCGTGGTCGCGACTGGGAGCGTCGTAGTCGTCGTCGATGATTGCAGTCAGTGAGACGACTAAACGAGGCACAACGTATCGGCGGAGAGTCCTGAGCGGAAAGCGACGATACTGTGCGTTTAGCCGGAGGGCTACGACAGACTATACGGTGACAGACAGTATGGCCATCGAGGCAGGCGAGGAGACGCCATTCACCGTCAACCGCAGCCATGGCTAAAGTCGAAGTACAGATTCGTAGTTGCTTTTGTTGTGGATTATCATTAGCTACTGTATTCGTCGCCCTCTATACCTTGGTGAGTCGATCGTTGGATTTCTTTGGGTGGGGTTTAGCTGTGAACAGAAAGATTCCCTCAAACCTGATCTTTAGCCTGTCGGTTGAAATGCGTACGCATTGAAGCTATAGTTATCGGTTTTTGTGGTGCATAGTCATCCGTGTGGAGAATGATTCTTTGTGTTTCTTTTCATTCCTCCAAGCGACGGATTACTGTACGTTCCAGATTCTGTATTCTATTCTTGTTGGACTCGCTGCTTGGGGATTATCCGACACAGCGAATAATGGCGACGCGTCTCATTTTCGTAGTTGCGAACTGGAAGCGCAAGGGAAACTGCCGGCAGGTGCGTGGCTGTCATTCCCCATGGGAACCACTTAAGTTTTGACGTGAAGCTTTCAGAAAATCGCAAACTCACATTCCAAGGTGGGCACACGACAGTGGTGGTGGAGGACTCCACCACTTACCATTGCTCGTTTGGGCTCTACACTGAAGAGCTGAAGTATGAAGCTGGATGTAAGCCTTTTTTGAACCTTCCTTGGTTCAGCCCATTCCATATCTGATAGCTGTTTTTCAGTACGTTATACCGTGTTGGTGCTGGATATTCTGATCTATGTCGGCATGATTCTCGCCTCGATTCTTCTGCTCATTGGTACGTTTGAAAGCATCTTTCTAGAGGTTGTAGCGCTTCTGGAACTCCCTTTTCAGGCCTGTCCATCTACAACCAATGGCTGTTGGTGCCATGGATCATCATTATGGGCATTGACATCATTCGTGGCTTAATCTCTGTGCTATTCATCTTCATTTACAGCTATGTGAGTGCCGTTTGTTCGCCTATAGACTGTGGTTGATTCATTGCACAGCATCAATCGTGCGGTTGGCCTTCGCACAATGATGGGGTGTGGTCTCAGGACAGAACCCGGTTTGTTCGCCTCCATTGCGATGCCATCACATCACATACTGACACTTTATTTCACCAAGAAATGTGTCCGCATTCCCCAGCAAATACGAATGGCCCCAGGCCGGACATCACCGGTCACCCCCAGGGCCATTAAAGGAAATGAGCAGGGGCAGAATTGCACGGCGACCCTTTTTTGGGCGCTCAGCTTCATTCCTTCAAAATTAAAACGCCTCAAATCTGGTCCTGAAACTGAATCGAGTTCATTTCTGAATCGAATCGATAGCTGTGATTTACGAAAGGTGGGGAGGAAGCCAGAAGAAATTCCTGACTTTTGGCTTTGATCGGTTTGCGACTCACTAGATTTCGTAATACAAATCTTTTGGACAAAAAAGTTGCAGGAATGGTTTTGTTGTTCCTCACCGTGTATTGTACCATTGACCACAGAAGTCCTTTGTAGCTTTCAAATGTTCGAGATACAGGTGAACGTTCCCGGTGGTTTATCCGCTGTCACCTCACAGAAGGAGAGTATAACGCTTTGCTGATCTTGTCAACTTTTCACAATTTTCTGCTTGGTCCAGCCCTCCTGGTCCTTTGCATATGGATAACAATAAAAGCAGGTCACTTCCGATGCAGGCAGCAATGACTTTGTTCCGGCAGCTGATATAAGATACTGTGAAAAAAGTTGTTGTGTTGATGCGTCTCGCGCTTCTTTCATCCCTGGATAATATAAAGAACCTTTTGTCTAAGCACCGCACTTTTGAAGGATAAAGGCGGAAGTTAGTGCAAAGTGATGCTGCTTACCACGCGTGCGGTCTGGGTATCGAATCCTGGATCGTGCGTCGTTCGGATCAACCAAGCCTTCCATCCCTCCGGGGTTGGTTAACTGGTACCAAACTTGTCTGGGAGGATAAAAACACTGAGTTATCGGCATGCTCACCTCCGCCCCATGTCTTTCAATAGTCCACTTCGCATTCATTTGATAACTACTAAATGTACAAATGGAAAGTAGTGCGGTGCCGCATCCCCAAAAAAAGAAAATTGATCGAAACGGCGAATGTTCTATCTTTTTTACCGACGCTTTTCCGTTTAGGCGAAGACCTTCTTAAGCCGTGTACCGAAAATTCTTAGTGTGGTTTGACTCCTGTAGGTCAGGCAACTGGCAATGTGGGTTCAAATCCTGCGATGACCTTCCTGAAGAAGGTTTGTTTCCAGGTAGAGTCCACTGAAATAAAGCCTTCTGATCATGCATAATAGACCACGCCTAGGAGGTGTGTCTTAAAGCAAATGATGTTTTTGGCCTTGATGGCTTTGCGGCTCACTAGAAGTTTATAAAGCCTGAAAAATGAAGCTATCATCTTTATTAATTCTTGACTCGAAGAGTAACTATGGCGGCCATGATTTGGTTGCAGGTTACAACGCGTAATATAGTTTCCATATCCTGCGTGAACATATTTAAAAATCGGCTAAAGTAATACTACTGGCGGAGAATCCCAGCTTTTGAACGCAAGCAATCATAGTGGGGCAGGATCAAGCCGTAACGTTGAAGATCCTCGACAGGTCAAGGGTCGTATTGGCCCGCTGGGAGGAAGAGATCAGGTCAGATTGATGAACCAGGATCATCGCCGTCGGAGGACAAACATCAAGGATCGAATCGATGCCAGGCCAGAGGATTTCCAATGACAATGATATTCACCCACACAAAATTTTCGTGATTCTGAGGCGTCCGGCAATTCTTAGTTACTTCAGTGTTTTATCACCACACAAGTTAAAGAATCCGAAATTCGCACGTTTTCCAAGGGATATTTATCTTTCAAGTGAGTCCTCGAATCTGAAGGGATGTGAAGCACACGGCGCATCCCAGAGTGGGCCCAGTTGGTTGCGCGCGCTTCAACTACGGCTCTCTGGAGAAAGAATCTCAATTCAGGAAAAATCAAGAAAATTCTGAAGGGGTTCTTGTTCAAATTGATGAGGTAATTCCACTCAAATGTGAAAGTAGGGTAGGAAGTGGACCACCAGTGGAGAAAAAAGGGAAAAAATTGTGAAATACACAGGAAATACGAGCCTTTTGCTCTACGCTGTGGAGAAGTTCAAAAGGCCGGCAGGGAGATGAGAGATAATGTGAGCGCGGAGAGCGCGTAGAGAGTCCGA